GTCGGTATCGATGACGCTGGCCTCGATGCCCTCAAGCCGGCTGGTCAAGGTCTCGGTGAAGGATGTGACATTGACGTCCAGCTTCCCGGAGTCCCTCCGCAATCCCACCCGTCGTCACTGGCTCCGCGACGACACTGGACGGCGCTGCTGCGGCGAAATCGGGCTGCCCGAAATGGTTTATCTCCTTCCCGACCCCCTCGCCGTCTGCCGTGCCCTGGGCTCCGATATTGTACTCCTCCAGGCTATCGTCGACGCCATCCATCTCGTGAAGTGCGCTCCTCAAGCGTCGGCGCAGTGCTCCACAATCACCTCCCACTGGAGTGCTGGCCTGACGAGTGTGCTGCCGACCTGGGGGCGAGGCAAAGACATCGTCCTGTGCAGCGGCATGGGCCATTGGCGAAATGCAAACGGGAAGTGGTACAGGAAAAAAGGGGTGCGTGGGATGTATGGAGCGTGAGTACAATCTGGTTCTCCTTGAGCCAGAAAACGGCTCGAGGAGGAGAAATGCGGGGACCGCTCATCAAAACGAGGACCAACACAACAGGATGGTTGGGAAAAGCATGGGCGCGCCAGCGGGCGGAACCAGATGTCAACGCTCATGGGCGGGCCGAGGCTCGCAGAAGGCCCAGGCGTCGTAGGCTCGATTCACCCGAGCCTTATGTTGCTCCCATCGCACTTCAGGACCACATCCCCAAAATAATTCTGAGCACCCAGAAAAGTGTCGAAAGAGTGTCGAAAGAAAGTTGAACGAGTGTCTCCCAGGGCCCGACACGTGAAAAGCCTCGAGTTCCAGCACTTTCCTGGTGCTCGGAATTCTTCCTGGCGCTTCAGGCTAAAGTAGGTTGGAACATCATAACCCGAGCCTCGATTCGCCCAGCTCGATTCGCCGGGCTCGCTTCGCCCGGCTCGCTTCGCCCAGCTCGCTTCGACAAGGGCTCGAAGCCCCCGGCTCGACTCGCCGGGCGCGATTCGCCCAGGCCCAGTTAATTAGCCCGAATATCGATTCGCCCTGCTCCGCCCCCCCGACCCGATCCGACCGTCCGCCCAGCCCGACCCGCCAATTGGCGACCGCCCGCCCGACCCGACCCGCCCGTTAGGGCTCGCGCGAGCTGACTTGATGCTGCGTCATGCTTCCATGTCCCGCCCGCCCGACCCGACCCGCCCGTCAGGGTCCACCCACCCGACCCTGGGGAAACCAAAAAATACCGATACCGCTACTCCCCGGACCTCTCCCGCGGTGCGTTCTGACCAGAATTTCGAGGCGAATCCAGCGGTGGCGACGAAGGCGTCCCAGGAGGCTCAAAAAGGGGAAAACGAGGGAAGGGTAGCCCCGGCAAGCCTTTAAGAACCCCCCTGGGGTTATCGTTAGCACCGCACCAAGATTTAATAGTTTCAGGGGGTCGTTATCGCAGAGCGATATCTTTAGCACCTCGCGCAAATCGAAAAAAAAAAAAAAACAAAAAAAAACAACAAAAAAAAAAAAAAAAAAAAAAAAAAAAAAAAACGTGGCGCGTCACGCGCCGCGCGACGCGCAAGAAGAAATCCTTGGGGATGCCTTTGGATATGCTGTGGATTTCCTAGAACATTTCACGGACCAGCAAAGGATTGCCTCGGGAATCCCAAGGATCCGATACTCCTAGGAGATGCTCAGCGCCCCTCGCGCGGGCTCCGAGCGCTCTATGCGGGCTCCTCCGTTGCCAAGGTAACGCTTCCAGGGTGCCGGATGCGTTATACTTTCACCGGAGGGGGGGGGGGTTCTTGAAGGCTTGATGCGGTTAGAGGTATGGGTACCTTTTCCTCCTCTGACCGACCCCCCCCGTCAGGGTCCACCCGCCCGACCCGACTCGCCCGTCATGAGGTCCGCCCGCCCGCCTGCTCCCCCCCCTCCTAGAGCTCCTCCCCCTCGGGTCCTCCACGTGCCCGGCGAAACGAGCCCCGGCGAAACGAGCCCCGGCGAAGCCCCGGCGAAGCGAGCCCAGGCGAAACGAGCCCCGTCGAACTGAGTCGGGCGAACCGAGCCTTGGCGAACCCAGTCCCGGCGAACCGAGCTGGGCGAGTAGAGTCGGTCGAACCAAGCCCCGGAAACGCAAGCCCCGGCGAAGCAAGCCCCGGCGAAGCAAGCCCCGGCGAAGCAAACCCTGGCGAACCGAGCCCCAGCGCAACGAGACTCTGGCGAAGCAAGCCCGTGCCGCCCAGGCATGGGCCGAGGCCCCAAGAGGAGGCTGGCCTCGGGGAACCTGGCGCTCCGCCGATGCCTGTGGGCCGAAGCGAGCAATCGCAAGGACCCCAAGAGAGCAGTGCGATGGTGTTCCCTTTCACCACGGCCCAGTTCCCAGACCTCCTCGCGTCGTGAAAAAATCACGACGGGAGGTATTTGGCTATTTTCGGCCTCTGGGGGCCCTTCCCGGGCCTCGGCAGGATGAAGAACCGGTCCCGGGGCAGGGGTCCAAACCTCTTGGGGTCGACGTCGTGAAAAAATCACGACGTCGGAGGTCTGGGTTGGCAAGGCGTGGCCCCAGGGGGGCGGCAGAGGGCAGCCCAGTCCGCCAGCGCCCCACATGGCGGGGGGAGGGATGCGGCTCGGCCAGCGACTGGCGCCGGCGGGTGCAGGATGGGCTCAAGTGCGGGCTCCCGTGGATCGTGTGCGCGACAGTGGCCAAGAGCGGGGCCAAAAGTGCAGCGGGTCACGCCGGCGGCGGCCCCCAGCGGCAGAACCCCAGCGGTAGAACCCAGGAGCCGAAGAAAGAGTTGGACCGTGCGCAGGCGGCGCTCAACTCCATGCACCACCAGCTATGCAACTTCACCCCAAGCACCGACACGGAGGGGAGCACCATGATGCGTACATCAAGCCTACCCCTTGGCCTCGGGAAACTGCAGCTCGCGTATGGCTGCGAACATGAGTGGGGCCTTTTCTGGATGGTGCGATCACAGATTGCACCATGACAGGGCTCGGATCCAAGTAGGCCGCCGTTCACCTGTATATCACACTAGCCTTGCCCGACCTTGCGGAGCAGCTTGGAAGTGCGCAGAGTTAGACAGGCGCCGATTAAGTGTCTCAACAATGTGGTCTCGATCCAACGTCGATAACGTTGGCTCGAGGACTGTGCCACTGGTCAGTCGAAAGGGCATTGCGCATAGAGAGGAAGTTTGATTTGGTGTCGTCTCTGTATTTCGCGGGGTGAGCAACAGGCGTGTCGATTCACTCGCCCTTGGACGCACAGCTCAACAAAGGCCAGCGCGAGTCGTGCAGAAACCACTCCCTTCATATCAGTTGTCATAATGAACCAGTTTCGCTTCCCAAGCTGGTGGACAGTACCACAACCGCGTGCCCACGAACCATCTTCCTCCTCCTCCGCCCCCTCATCTTCCTCATTCTCCTCCTCCGCCAACCAGAAAAAACAACACCTGGAAATAAACAATGATCGGGTCACGAGGTGCGCGATCCGTTTAAAACCGTCGTTGCAGTGAAACATCGCACCTGCGTGGCGCCAATCCACTTCCACGACGCCGCTGCGCAGTACGACCGTACGTCCACTTACGGCTTCGACGAGGCTGCGAAGAGGCCGCGGTAGTTTCGCACCTGCCTCGTGGCATTCTCGGGAAATGCTGCTCAATCCCAGCAACAAACTTCGGACTAAGTATCGTTGAAGATCCTCGCGTCGGCCTTGCGATCCCAGCCTCCTCCTCCCCCTCCTCCTCCTCCTGACCTCCTACTCTTCTACCTCCTCATCGTCATCATCACCATAGCATCATCACAGCATCATCATCATCATCATCATCATCATCATCATCATCATCATCATCATCATCATCACCACCACAATCATCATCACCAGCAGCATCGTCGTCATCCTGAGCAGCATCATCAATATCATTACCAACATTATCATCAACAACATCATCACCGTCATCGTCATCGTCGTCGTTGTCGTCGTCATCATCATCGTCATCATCACCATCATCAGCATCAGCATCATCCTCATCAGCACCATCAGCATCATCATCGTCAGCATGATCGTCACCATCACCATCAGCATCACGATCATCATCATCATCATCATCATCATCATCATCAGCATCATCATCATCATCACCACCATCACCACCATCATCACCATCATCATCATCATCATCATCATCGTCATCATCATCATCATCACCATCATCATCATCATCATCATCATCATCATCATCATCATCATCGGCATCATCATCAGCATAATCGTCACCATCACCACCAGCATCGGCATCGTCATCATCATCGTCATGGTCAGCGTCATCGTTATCGTCATCGTCATTGTCTTCATAATCATCGGCATCATGAGCACCAGCAGCATCAACATCATCATCATCATCATCATCATCATCATCATCATCATCGTTGTCAGAACAATCATCATCATCATCATCATCCTCATCCTCATCCTCATCATCATCATCATCACCTTCATCGTCATCATCACCATCAGCATCATCATCAGTTTCATACTCGTCCTCATCATTGTCCTCATCATCATTATCAGCATCATCAGCATCAGCATCATCATCATTATCATCATAACCCTCGTCCTCGTCTTCGTCCTCGCTTTCGTCCTCATCATCATTATCCTCATCCTTCTAATCCTCATCCTCATCTTCATCCTCGTCCTCATCATTGTCCTCATCATCACCATTATCAGCATCATCATTATCATCATCCCCATCATCACAATCATCATCAGCATCATCAGCAACATCAGTATCACTACCATTATCATGATCATTACCAGTATCGCTCTCACCATTATCACCATCATCATTCTTACGAGTCTTATTGTCGTTGTCACCATCGTGGCAATCAGCATCGCCATCAGCATCTTCATCGTCGCCATCATCAGAATCAGCAGCAAAATCATCATCGTCGCCGCCATCATCTACAACATAATCACCTCCTCATATGTATGTTACCCCTTCGCCAGCAGCACTATCCTCTACTCCACCCTCCGCGCAGTATAACAGGCCTCGTTGCTCTGCTCCAAAGTCAGGTACATGCTCTGCGTCATTTTCATGACCTGTACCCCTACTGTTACTGCGTATCCTCTTTGTCCTTCTGCTTATGATTCTTCTCCTCCAACTCTCCCAGCTCCTCCTAATTGGTGTCAGCCTTCGACTCTCCGTCGATTTGGGTGCCATTCCTCAGGGGCTCTCGGGGCCGGGGAGGGCGGAGGGCGGAGCCGGAGCAGCCGCAGCGGTAGAGGGCCATCGGTAGTTCGTCGGATGGGGATCCAGGGTCTCGAGGGCCAGTCAGTGGCTTCTCTTGGGAGCCTCGCGGACGGCCTGGCCCTGGCAGGAGGGCGGATGCCCCCAGCTGGCTGGCTGGCCCTCTCGGAGGACTGCCTCTCCGATGCCGCCACCTCGGCGCCCCCGCTGAAGGGGGGCATCCACAACCGAAACGGGAACCGTTGCCAGGGCCACATCTTGGCACGGGCACCCTTCGAGAACCATGTGCAATCGAGAAACGTCTGCGAAGCCCTGCCACCGTGCGAAGGAATTGCGACCACGCCCCAGTACCGCAAGAGGCCCCCCGTCTCCAATGTTCGCTGCCCCGCGCAGCTGTCGAAGCATACTCGGAACTTCTGCCAAAACCAGCGCACGACCACAAATCCTGACCAAATCGCTAGCTCCGAATTTGACATTGCTCCACCTCCCATGACAATGGTCCCAGACTAGGATCCCAGATCGCCCGTAAGTTGTGCTCAGGGCCATTCACATGATGTGGCTCGTGATGCCCCCAAGAAAAAAGGGAAGCCCGTGGGAGCAGCTAGAAGAGGAGGAGGCCAGGGAAGAGGCGAGCGCCCCCCATCAGCATGCAGAGCGCAACAATTGGCACGACCGAGCTGGTGAGATGAGCACCCAGAGGTACGAGCAAACTTTGTGGATCGAGAAGAGGTACTGAGGACAAAGCGAATAGGTGCAAGGCAAGTGTCAGGAATCGGATGACTGACAAGGAAGCAAGCAAGCAAACCGTGAAGAGATACTGAGGACAAAGCGAATAGGTGCATGGCAAATGTCAGGAATCGGATGACTGACAAGGAAGCAAGCAAGCAAACACGTCGGGAATCGGATGGCCACGACGAAAAATGGTGGGAGCGATGAAACAGCGCATGGGATTAGCATGAGGAACTGAAGAATGGAGAACCCTGTGTATGTCTACTACATTCTTCCGCCACTGGTCTTCATCAATGACGCGCTCCTTCGACGCCTCGCCACCCCCTCTGTAGAAACCAATGGCGCATAGCAGCTCAAGAATGCAGCACCCTTTTCCCTGCGCGCGTAATTACTAGACTGAGTGATAGGGGCGCGCATACAGCCAGGGAACAGTTTTCACAAAACGTCGGGAAACCTTGCTGCTCGACACGATAACCCTTGCGCATATGGGCCCAGCAGCAGTATAAGCCACCCTGGACATAGACGCAAATACTCTTATTCTCGTATCGGACCATCGTGCAAATAAAACATTGCTGTGCCCAAGCAACAACATGACTGAAACCCTGAATACCCGTGCTCCTTGGATGTGGAGGGTGGGGGAGGGGAGACGTGGTGGGCGGCGGAGATGAAGCGGGCGGGCGAAAAAGATAATAGAAGAATGAATGGGAAATGTCCTCATTATCATCCGCTTTCCGCTCATCCCCTTCTTCTTCCACCTGCTCCCCCTCTTCTCCCACCTGGTCCCCCTCTGTGCTTGCTCGAACTCCATCCACTCTCTCTCTCTCTCTTTCCCTCGCGCTCTCGCTCTCTCTCTCTCTCTCTATCACCCTCTCTCTCTCTCTCTCTCTCTCTTAACAAACAGAACGGGGGGACCCCGATCCTGAGGTGCCCACTCCACTGGCTGTGCACCAGTGGTGCGAACACCCACCCTAGTCTGCTCCGTGGCCGAGGCTCGGGGAGGCAGTTCCCTCATGCGCCATGGGCTGTACCCCAGGTGGTAGATGGCACGATTCCAGCGAGCCCCTTGACCCTGTCCCTTGCTAGTAGAATCGTGAGCTGTCCCTCAGAGTCGACCCCGAGGGCAGGGCAGACGACTGCTCCACCAGGCTGCCGCAGCAAAGCCTGTTCCGCTTCGCCGCCAAGGCTGGGCCCTCCCTCCCTCTCTCCATTTCCATATCCCCCGTTTTCCTTCCCCTCGGCCTTTGGCACCAAGGTCTAGCCTGGCACGCGGTCGCACGTAAAGCGTAAGAGATTCCTTGGATGGGACTTTCTCTCTCTCTCTCTCTCTTTCAGCCCACCCTCAAACATCTCTCCGCCTCACTCTCCCCAGCGTGCTCCGGCAGAGCGTTTCCGGAGCACGTTCCGCCGTGCTCCCCAACGTGCTCCGGCAGAGCGTTTCCGGAGCACGTTCCCCCGTGTTCCGGCAGAGCGGTTCCGGAGCATGGTGCTCGCAGGCCACATCTCATCTCATCCTCCTACCATCCAAGTCCCATCCTATCCTCCACCTCTCTTCCGTGCCATCGTCGTTTGTGCTCGAGCCTCTTCAGAGTGGCCTGCGCGCCCAAGCGGTGCTCACAGTGCGTAGGTCGGCCGCCACTTCACGAAGTGCTCTGCAGTGGGCTCGCGAGGTGTCCAGTTGGGTTGTTCTCGGAAAACAGTTACTCTCTCTCCCTCCCTCTCTCTCTCTTATTGTGTTTTTTTCTCTCTCTCTCTCTCTCTCTCTCTCTCTTTCTCTCTCCCGCTCCCCCCCGCCACACACACACACACACTTCCCCCCTCCTGCCAGAGGGGTCGTCAATGGTGTCTGGTTTGACGGTCGGATCGGGAGTCGTTCCCCGAGGCGGTTGCACCGCACCCCGTCGGAAGACAAGGTCGTTGTGGACCCCCCCCCTCCCACCACCACCTTCGACATTTTGCCTAGCAGGTATGATTGCGGACGTGCTGTTCTTACCACTGCGTCATCGTGCCCGTTATGGCGCAATAGATATGGGCATGCGCCATGGAAGACACACTTGAACACGCAGGCCAGCACCGCCCATCTCCAATGGTTCCTGCTTTAGCTTGGAAGCGTACGTGTAATGTGTGTGTCTACGTGTCTCGAGTATGGGCGTGGCAGTGAACGAACAGCGCGTAGTCAAAGTGCGGGGGGGGGGTCTGTAGCCGCATGCCTGACACTCGTCCCTGGGTGCGCCCAGGTTGCGCTACTGGATGCTAGCCAGTAGGGGGCCCTAAACAGCGTGTCTCGTGCAATCCATGTAGAGCAACAGGCGTAGATCCATATACGTGGTGCAAGAAACTTTGCGCAGTCGATGGTGTGCAATTGACTTGTACAAACGGGCCGACACATCCCATGCTCCTGCAAACATCACACCCGCCCACCCGCAATTTGGTTTGCAAAACCCATGCGGCGGCGATTGCGGTGAGTGCTTGGCGTTGGCTGGTGCATCTCTACGGCCGCGTCAGCCCGCGCACGCACGCGCGCGCAGCGGCCAGCTGGTTTGGCGCAGCCGACGCACCCGCGGTGGCGCTGCTCGCGCGCGCAGCGGCCAGATAGTCTGGCGCTGCCAACGCGGTCGCGGCGGCGCTGACCGCTGAGCACTTCCCAACGAACACTGCAGTGTGAGTCGGCGACATGGGCGGGCGCGGTAGCATGGCAACGTCGACAACGGTAGACCCGATGATGACGGTTGCGATGCTGGTGATGATGGCGGAAAGGACGACGCCGGGGCCAATGACGGCGCCGAAGTCGAAAACAAGCTGGTAAGCTTAGGTATGTGTTACGCTTTAAGCGTTGCCATATCCCAGGCTTTGGCTCATATCGCATGAGCAAGAGTGCAAGACGAAGCATGGGATCTGGAGTAAAGGATAGGATGGGCATCGTCAATGGAAAAGGTATTTTCCGATCTCTGATGCAAGTCGTGCGCCTCAGTGAGGCACAGTCATATATTTGGCCGGGCCCGGCTTGAGCCAGGCACGGCAGCGGTACATGCTCGATTTATACCTCGCCTTTAACCTTCTCCGTTTAAAGTCGGAGGGGGAGGAGACGAGCAGGTACCGCACTTCTACATTATGCGGAAAAAACAGTGCTAAGCAGCAGCGGCTGCCTACAAGGAAAGGGCGCGCGAGTAGCCTCGCTACCGGCGAGTTTCCTCGCTACTAAAGCGCACCTGCCCGCGGGTTTCCCCGCTGGCTCGGGAGGCAGGGCCGTCCTGAGACGACCTGCCCGCCCTATACGGCGTATGTTTCTTCAGCTCGTGCTTGAAGGATTGCTGGCCGGCCATTACTTGTAGGAGCAACGCGCGGTCAATACTACCTTTGGTATGACCATCGGCAGTCATATCCCGCGTGTCACACCATTGGACGCTTTCCACGATTCCGCGTTCCATCATCTGGCGGATCCAGCTGATGTGCCCAAGCAGAGTACATTCTGTGGGCTTCTTCAGATCTTTGCTAGACAAAGACTTGAAGACAGACTCGGCATCAATAGTCAGAGTGACTTTGATACATAGACCACCCATTTCCAATATGTTCTTTAACTGTGTGGGGGTCAATGGTCCCGAGTGTAGCTCGTGGAGCGTTACAATGGTCGGGTAGCAGTCTTCCAAGTTGTGGGCTGCTGCCAGTGTTTCCGCAGAGTAGCTCGAACGCACCTGCAGTCGATGAGACTTGCAGTATGCGTCCACCAGGTGCACGACGGGTTTCCCCGCTTGCGTGTGGCCACGCCTCAGCAGGTTAGCCCCGCGGATACCATAGCCTTTGACTTCGTCGTCTTCATCTCCGTTGAGACGACGATAGCCAGAATCGCTATGCAGGTCGACTTCTCCTGTTGGGGTCATAGCTTGATACACGATCTTCTTCGGACCTGCCTGTAGCTTTCTGGTAACCGCGTTTAGTCGTCGTACCTGGATGTTTGTCGGTTCCTGGATACGTTGTAGTGAGACAACATAGACCATCAGCCATACCTGCGTGATCAACGCATAGGCTAGAGCGCCACGAAGACTGACGAACATATCAGAAATCGTCTTTGTCGCTTTGCTCTCAGGATCAGCTCCTGTGAGTTCTGGATGTGTGATAGGACGAAGCTGTTTGATGTATTCGTCCTGATCGAGAGTGACGCTCCCATCATCGGTCTTGTTGTACCGAACGGCACAGTTTGTGTATGTGTGCTTGTTCAGTTTGCACTTCCCAAACGTATCTTCAACACACTTGACATACTTGTCAATAGCCTCTTCCTTCCCAGTCATATTGATGTCATCAACGTGCTTGGCTGTCAAGAGGTTTGGGCTCATCTCGAACTCTTCGTCGTATGAAGTAGGCTGTAGCCCAAAGCTCCTAGTGATGGACCTGAGCTTCAGCGAGAATGCCCTGGGAGCATCCTTCGTGCCCGTCCCCGGTTTCAGACACCGGAGACAATGCTTTGATTCGTCATATGACTCAAAGCCTGGCAGTGTGCGAAGGACAGCTGCTGACCCAGGTGGTAGCGTGAAGCACACCACACGCTCTTTCTCGCCCGTTGCCGCGGCGAGCTCGCCATAGGTCAGTCCCTTCAAGAAAGCCATGTTGATGTCCAGGGAAGCGATGATCCAAGCTTTGTTGCATGCAGCAGAACTTGCGAGCAGTCTCTGGCTTGACCTCCTTGCCGTGCCAGAGAAGGTTTCGACATCAAAGGCTTCAAGGTCCATGAAGCCACGGAGTACCAAGCGTAACCTGATCGTCCTTTCCATTTCGCCCTTTTCGTTCTTGACAAACTTCCATTTGTATACGTAGCGTGACGTCATGATGTTAGACGCCTTGCTTAAGTCAGTCATCTGGAAGCATTTGTTGTCAAGCCAAGTCTTCAATTCTGTGTAGAGGGCTTTGGAAACTTTGACCGGATTTGCTTGGATGTCGGCCTTCGTGAGTAGATCGTCTTCCTTGACGACCACGGCACGTTTGGAGGCAGCGCTAACGTATACTCGCATAGTTGTGACGCTGCTGTCATCCAACAATCGGTGTTGCTGCTCGGACAGGACGACTTTGGACATGTCTGCAGTGAAGCAGAGCTCGATGTACTTCCCGTGCTCATCGGAGTCCAGATCATATTTGCTATCCGGATCCGTGGAGCATAAAGGAACGTAGTAAGAAGTGTCCATGTCGTATCCTGGCGGGTGACCCCGCTCCGGCAAGTGGCCTTGCACATCTTCACAGGTCGTAGAGACTAACACACACTGTGTGTCTGTCATGTATGTGGGAACTGTATGCATGACTTCCTCTGTGTCAGCTTCAAGGAGTGTT